ATCACAATGTAGAAATTAAAATCTAGTTAATCAATATAAAATCAATGTGTGTGTGTGTGTGAAGAATTTAGCACAGTATTATGAATTCATCAGTTGTTTAAATTCCTGACCCTTAATGGTCAAATATATTCTTTCATCACTCGTAAGATTCACACACTCCAAACTTATTCTTTTCATTCTTTTCAAGGGTGTGAATTAAGGTTGAATTTTATATTATCCTCACTTCTCTAGTTTAGGTAAATCTCACTAATTGCAAGTCAATATGTCAATAAATAAAAATTATCCTTTGAATTTGATTGCTTCAATCTCTAGGACTTAATTAGGCTGACAATCTCTTATCAAAAGTCAAATTATCTTAAACAAGTGTTTGGGACATAATCAAGGTATTTGGTGCGTCTTCTGCTTCATGCACCGTTTTTTCCTTTATTTGCAGTATTCTCTCTCTTAAGCTTTCCCAATGAGCCATGTAACAAACTTTAAGCCGATGAATCCCAAGCCAGTTGACTTTAGGGAAACATGTTTTAATACCCTTACAAGTTTAATAACTCGAGTCATAAATGCTACGAAGAGAAATTTTCAAATAAAATGTTTTTTTTTTTTTGCCTTGATTAGTGTAATGTCCCTCATTAAACATCAATTTAAGTAAAACGACCTCTAACTTGAGATTTTCACCCAATTGCGTCCTATTGACCTTAAACGATCCATACAAGATTTTTTTTCACACATGGAATCCCGATTTATCTCAATATCTTCCCACAACAGTGAAATCCCCCTAAACTATTCTAAATTTGGTTCAAGGATGTAAAATTTAGTGGTTTTAGGTTTGGCATCTATGGTCCACTATTTTAACCTATTCAATTATGAAATCAATTCATTCGTACACAATGCTTAACTTAATTAATTTGCTCAATAAATATCAAATTTCACATGGAAAAATAAAAATTAATTTAGGCATACAACTTATTCACCATTCATAGATCAATTTATGATTTAAAATATTTCTCATTGCCAATCAGACCAACTAACCCACACAAGTATACAAAAAGAATTTTTTTTTTGAATTTTTTGAATTTTTTTATATTATCTAAAGAAATAAAAGCACAACATATAAAAAAAATAAAATGAAAACTCATGTTTTCCACCCCCAAACTTAAACTAGACATTGTCCTCAATGTCTTTAATCCTAAATTCGCATATAAAGGGGTGGGGAAGAATGTGAAGAAAAGACTTCCCTGATATGGCGTGTAATTCCATGGCTAGC